GGTATATACGCCTATATAGTATAGGGTTATAGATGGGCTTATGTTATGATGAAATGTAATAATCCTAAGCATTTATAGGCATTTAACCGTATAGAGAATAATAAAGGAAGTGATGTATTGTGATGACTCTTGTTGTTGTTGGCAGGTTGCATCCTCTAGTAGGGAAAAGTGAGGGGAAAGATAATCTGAAACGTAACCTACTAAACTGCTAATTACATAAGGTGCTTACGTAACTATACGTATTACATAATCAACATTATAGTTATAAGTTGTAATAAATAGAGTATTTTTATATAAGGTTTTATACCTTAAATGTTATTAGTTTATTTTATATAGAATATTAAAGTAAGTTAAGCGTTATTATTATTCTTATATTATTATTATTATTATTATAAAAGAATGTTATATGTTAACAGGTTTTACTAAATAATAAATATTATATTTATATATTTAAATATGATAATAAAGTTTAAAAAGTTAAATATTTAGCTAATTAGAGATAATATAATCCTCTCTTAATTAGTTAGATATATATAATTAGCTTAAATTAATATACATAGCTACTTTTTTATTACTTATTAGATAATAATAAGTTTTAAAAAACTATGTTATAAATTAATATTATTAAATAATATTATAATACTAAATAGAGTTTCGTTATTCAAAAAAAGTTATAAAATAATAAAATTTATAATCTTAAAAAATAATTTTTATTATAAAAAAAACCTAAATATAGATTATTAACTAAAGTATTTAAATAGTATTATAGTAATATAAATAGTAAACTTAGTAGAATATTAAACTATAGTATTTATTTATAATAAATATAATATTTATAGAGATTATATAATAATAATAAACATAAACTATTAAGACTACTAAAAAGAAAATAAATAGTAATATACTATATTAAAAAAAGAGGCTAAAAAGTAAAAGAAAAGAGGTATAAATAAAATATATAGTTATAAAATACTAATTAATTAATAATATATAAATTAACTAAATCTTAAATAATAGCTTATTTATATTATAAAATTAATAACTATATATTATTTACTATAAGGAATTTATAATCATATAAGCTATTTAAGTTTAGATAGTAAGTTAATTTTAACTTTATAATATTACTAAAAAAGACTTAAAATACTATTAAATATTATATAAAACTTCTTAGCTATTTAAATGTTAAAGAGATATTAATTAAAAAGAGGTGTTATATTAATAATAGTAACCTCAATATTTATAATAATATTAATAAACTTATTTACAAAATAGTAGTAATAATATTATTTTAAATATTAATTTAATTAATAATTTTAAAATTAATAATAATGTTATTAATACTAATAAGCTTAAATTACTATTATTATTAATACTAGCTTTATTAGTTATATTAATATTAATATTAAAATACTAAATATATATCTTTATTTCATAAAAAAGTTTAATATATTTCTGTATTAATAATACTATAAAAAGTAACTTTCTAATAATACCTCTACTAATATAAATAGTAAAGAAATAAAAATATATTAATAATAATATAAAAAGTAATAATTTAGTTATCATTTCTAGATTATTAATCTAAATACTAAATATATAGATATTATATATATAGCCAAATAGCTCTACTTAAAATTAATATATTAATATTATTTTTATTATTATGTAATATAGTTAAAGTTAACATATTATATTATAAAAAGCTATCAATTTAGGAGCTAATACTAAAAAATACTACTTTTAGTAATATAAGTAGAAACCCCCTTTTTTAATAGAAACCCTGTTTTTTCACCCCCTAGGTGAGTAGGGGGTCTAGCGGTAGCCTGCTAGACGCTTTGACCACCGGGTATTTTTCTTGGCCAATGAGCTCTGCCTGAAATGACTTGACTCCACTAAAAAATTCATTGTTGGTGCAGTTCAACGTCCAGAGGATCAAGTGAAAGCCAAACTCATCATTCTCTACAACATCGAAGGGAACAGCAACAATGATTGTAAGTGTTAAATACAACTAAAACTTGACGCCAGTATAATGATAGAATATACACTAACACAAATACAGCGAAAACAAGCGCGCCAAAGGCGCGACTACCTGTATCGCCGAGCGTTGATGCTGAAGGACGCAGAGACCAACGAGAAGAAGGCCGCTCTGAAGTCTGCTCTTGCTTCAGGCAAGCCATTGGATCCATCCATTGCGAAAGACAAGAGCCTGAGAAAAGAGTGAGATTAGCTTGGAAGTCGAATGAGACGCAGTTGTGTTGACCTCGAGCAGCTACCAGTATGATGAGTCGCGTCCCGATCTCACGGTCAACGAGGAGTTGGACCTCGACGATGAGTACTCTCAACTGAGCGGTATTCAAGATCCTCGAATTCTGGTCACCACCAGTAGAGATCCCTCGAGCCGTCTGGCCGCCTTCAGCAAGGAGATTAGACTTTTACTCCCCACGTCCGTCCGTCTCAACCGTGGAAACCTTATTCTCGACGACCTTGTGCAGTCCTGTAAATCAAATTCCCTAAGCGACGTCGTGTTACTTCACGAGCATCGAGGCGTACCGACTGCCATCACTATTTCTCACCTTCCTCACGGCCCAACGCTCTCTTGTTCCCTGCATTCCGTGGTCCTGAGACATGACATTCCGGGATCTATCAGGGGATCTGTCTCTGAAGCATATCCCCACCTGATTTTTGAAGGTTTTAAGAGGTGTGTGGCGGCGATCCGCTTGTTGTATGCTTTAGCTAACCTCACAACAGCCGCCTCGGACAGCGTATAGTCAAGATCCTCAAGCATCTTTTCCCTCCACGGGAACCGATTACGAATAAAACCAAGATAGGTAACAGAGTCGTGACCTTCGTCAACAATGAAGACACCATAGAAGTGCGACAGTAAGTTGATCTTTGACTGGTTACGGTTGACCGCTGCTCACCAGACTTGATAGCCATGTTTTTGTCCGTACTTCCTACGACTCAGTTGAGCTTGCCGAGGTTGGACCGCGCATGACCATGCGGCCATTCGAGATTCGCGCCGGGACTCTCGAAAACAAGGAGGGAGACGTGGAATGGCACCTCTCGCAGTACACTCGCACCGGAAGGAAGAAGGAGTACTTGTAAGACAGTGTCGTCGACTGAGAAGCAAGGACAGAGCTGGATTAGTAGCAGGCTGTAAAGTCAACAGCACTTCACTTCTTGAGGCTTCCAGACGAAGCGCGGGATTGTGAAATCATTGGGCTAATTTTGAGATTTGGGCGTTGAAGGCATCAAAAAGGCTGCATGGGGTAGACATCACATTATCACGGCTAGAGCCACAAACAATGATACTGAGAACCAAGCAACTATATCTCTTGTTCAGAGGCCAATTACAAGTTAGCTTGGTATAAAACTGATTGCTGACAAAATATATCCATCGTCAATCCAGATGTGTGAGGAAACACCTTTGATGACGCCAAAGTCAGACTGGTTGGATCGTGATAAACCCATCGAGGCGACAGAAACGGGTCCAGCCAGCGACGTCCTTGCAACAGCCATCACGAGCCAATCAGGGGCAACTTGAGCCGTCATCCGGTGGTCTCGCTGCCGAGCTCTCCATCGGAAAGGTTTAAGCATGGGACAAACGAACTGGCCCTTGTCGGGCTGGGTTGATTGCGAATCAATTTCTCAGGGGCCCCCGCCACTACATACGCGCAACACGGATACGGAGCCTAAAGCGGGCTTTTTGAAATCGCCGTTGCCTGTCAGTCAGGCTGCGCACACCGCAAACACGCGGCTGATGGCGGGTAAAAAAGGACGAACCGCGGGAAGGGAGGGTGGCTTAGAACTCTTGGGATGGGCAAAAACGGCGGCTCGCACAGCCACTAGCTCAATGGTGGTGACGCCTCCAGCAACCTGCGGTCGAGCCGGGACGCTCAGCAGCGAAAGTACCGAAGGCTGCGGATCTTAACAGTCTCTGCAACGGCTGCAGGTGAAGATAGTCGGCGATTTGGTTCGTCGATTGACACGAGCTGCAATTGACCGGCAGCATTATTCGACCTTTCACGTCAGACCAGTCAGCTATTTTTGGGAACGACTAGATGGTGTCGCCGCCGCTCAGCCCATTTCGATTGCAGTTGCCGTTCCCACCCAATCGTCACCTCATTCATTCATGGGCTGGACATTAGACAAGCTGGGTGGCAGGTCGGTCCCATGTGTGCTAGAAGAGCCAAGACTGCGGGAAGACACAGGGAGGGGCAACAACAGCAGCCCAGCCTCCTGTTCTGCCTGCCGTTGACGGGCCCTTTCTGCACACCACCGCCGGACGGTCTGGGTGCGTGTGAGACACTGAAGGACGTACGACCCAGGCACAAGTACCGTCCAGAGAGTCCTGCTCAGTCCTTAGGTACCTACGGTACCTACATTCCCTGGGCTGTAGGACGGGCAGCGAAACCCGTGGACGTCTTCGCAGAAAACATGCCCGCGTCCCGTGTACAATAATAAGCTTCGCCCCGCCCGCTGGCCGCAACATGCTCTGATGTCACTGACCTTGGGCTGCTCCAGCTTGTCTTTCCGGACCCGACGAATCCTCTTTTTGCTTAGGTTGTCAGCATCGAGAATCGCTCACGGTTCCCGTTCCAGGCGTGTCGTATAACCTCAAAAGTACCATCCATCCCAAAACCACAAGAGGGGCTGCGACTGTTTATTTGTTTCTAGCGCCCGTCGGGCTCCTCTGCGAAGAAGAAAAAAGACTTGAAAAAAACAGGACCCCGGAAATCTGATCGGCCAATCCTGCCCACTTGCGCCCCATCCCACCCAACCACAGACACTGCCCGGGGTATCCGCTCTGACAGGTCCCGGCTCCTGATTGGGTCCGCACACACTGTCATTTCAGTGCCTTTCCAGCACTTCCCAGTTCCTGTCAGCGGCCGGAGGTCCAACCTGGACGTCATTTAACGACTGGACATCAGCCGAAATATCCTCAGCGCTTGGTACTCAGTGCTCACACCTGCTACCACCCGATCCATCTCACGAGAGCAACGCCGGACATTCTCACTCCGCCAATTCTCTCCGGCTTCACGCGATCAACCTCCTCTCCAACGCTCTGTCTGTAATCGCGTCGACAGCAGCATATCCGTCAACATGTCTTACGGACAGTATAACAACAACCCTTACGCTCAGGGCTCCGACCAGGAAGGCGGCTACGGTTACGCCAACAACAACAATAACAACCAGGTCCGTCACCAATCCATTCAATCGCTTCCTCCTACGTCGCGGAATCTCGTCGCATCGCATCGCAGCTAACAATCGCAAGCAGTATGGCCAAGGTCAATATGAGATGCAGCCTTACGGCCAAGAGCCGAACCAGTACGCCAACCAGCCGCCGCCGCCTACCACTTTGACCCAGCAAGAGTTCCTCCAGCGCGTGCAATACCTGCGCTCCGAGATTCAGGGCCTCACATCCGACATTGAAGGCATTGCTGCGCTGCACCAGCGTTCCCTCGCTTCCACCGACTCCAACGCCAGCTATCAGCTTGAGCAGGCCGTCTCCGCGACGCAGCTCCGCAACACCGCGGTCAAGGACGGCATCAAGGCCCTCGAGAAGGACCTCGCAAAGACCCAGGACGGCTCCCGCGCCACCAAGAGCGCCCAGCTCAACTCGCTCCGCAACACGTTCAAGGGCGAGCTCGAAAAGTACCAGCAGATTGAGAGCGACTACCAGAGGCGCTACCGCGACCAGATCGCCCGCCAGTACCGCATCGTCAACCCGGAAGCGACGGAAGACGAGGTCAAGCAGGCGACGGAACTCGATTGGGGTAATGAGGGTGTTTTCCAAACAGCTGTAAGTTTTCAAAGCTTTCTATCGCCAATTTGACCCAAAGCACGGATATTGACGTTGTCGCCTATAGCTTAAGTCAAACCGGACAGGCCAGGCCAACTCGGTGCTGGGCAACGTTAGAGCCCGCCACAACGAACTGCAGCGCATTGAAAAGACACTCGTGGAGCTCGCTACGTTGTACCAGGAGATGGCCACTCTTGTCGAGGCACAAGAACCCGTCGTCGACGCCGCCGAGCAGAACGCCCAGCAGACCGTCGACAACATCGCCAAGGGTAATGAGGAGGTCGCCGTCGCCAACAAGCACGCCCGCAACCGCAGAAAGCTCAAGTGGTGGTGCCTTCTCGTCGTTGTCATCATCATTGCTCTCGCGGTCGGCTTGGGTGTCGGTCTCTACTGCACGAACAACAAGTGCGGCAGCAAGTAAATCACGACTGCAAACTACGAGAGAGCACATTGTACGACACGGAAGTAAGAGAATGCTTTGACGGGGCAGGCATGGCGATGAGCCCACATGACGAAGGCAAAGGACAGCACTTTAAAAAGAGAGGGCACAACGACTGTTTTAGATTTCATGACCATGGCTCGAACGGAGGAAAGGTTTTAATCAGGGCAGGGCACTGGTGTTGTATCCCGCCGCATCCGACCGACTCCCCCTCCAACGAGGCCACGAACTTTTTATTTAAACCGCCGAGCATTTCACACCCACGTCGGGCTCCTGATTCCCCAAACCACCAGGTTTTATACTCATTGTACGCATACCCTTCATACAACCACAAACGGGAGATTGGGGGAGGTCCGGAGTCTTTTTATTTCCTCTTTCTTATTTTTGTATGTATTGAACGTCTCTTGCCTCCTCACCCTCCTGCCACCCATTGGATCATGAGAACGTGGGATAGTGGCAATCGGAGCGCAGGGGGCAACGGCACATTTTTCTCCTTGTACGTATCGCACAAACAATGGCGAGGGTTTAACGACTTGAATGGGCTCCCATGTTCCTCCGGGGACACCACACCAAATACCGCTGTGTTACTGAATGAAATTTTGCTCGTGAAAACGCCCTCCTCTGCCCGGCAACCGACGCAGACCGGCATGCCACGCGGGAACCTGGTCGGGCCAACCACCCCCGGCCCAGCAAATGTCTCGGAGCCCTGGGCCTGGGATGGGTGTTGTTATTGTTAGCTACGTGCCCTCATCTCCCCCGTCCCGCACCTACGCCCGCTGGCCCGCATCCCACGCGCGGGCTCGATATCCCGCCGCAGCCCTACGGCACAGCGGGGGCGGCACGATTCAAGTTGACGGAAATCGCCGACCATTCCAACAACTCCGATAAGGAGTTCCGCCGGTTTCGTGGTGTAGTTGGTTATCACGTCAGTCTAACACACTGAAGGTCTCCGGTTCAAGTCCGGGCGAAATCATTCTTTTGCCATTGTTTTTTGATTGTGTTGGCGATTTCTGCCCAAGGATATTTTTGCTGTCGGCAAATTGGGCAGCTAGATAACACCAGCCAGCCAGTCAAGTAGTCTTCGCTATCAACCCCGTCCAAAGTGATGCTTCTCTCGCCTACAGCAACTGTTCTCAAGACACATCTCGAAAGTCACTCAAAAACTCCGTCGAGACCGCTGTTCAACCGCTCGTAGCTAAACTGGTCCGAGATTGACAAATATGGATACAGATGACAATGGACTAGTTCTACAATGCTCTCACCAAATGTACGCAAAGTGAGGGAAGTCGGATTATGTACAAACGTGTTAAAGGGTTCGACCCATGCCTCCCAAGCCGTGTGCGTTAAGCCCTGGTTTCACCGCCGCCAAAACCCGAAGCTCCCCGCCGCCGGCCAACAAAAAAAGACATGAACATAACAGCAAACGGGCTTTTTTTTTGGTTCTTAACATCGTCCCGTCCTGATATTTTGATTCGTCCCCCATTACTCGCCCCGGAACCCATTTCCCGGGGCTGTTACCTGCTCCCCCATTTTTTCCGTCACAGGAGCTTAAACTACTACTCTTCTTCTTCTTACACGGCGCCAGTTGGTGAGTTGTGTGGGTGTGATTACTTCAATTCAGTCGGAAAAGTGTAAATCCTCTCCTTTACCTGGGCATACCCGGGCTGATACCCTGCAACTTCGCTGCCAGCTTGGGGTACTTCTCTTGCACTTGGAGCTGCGTGCGTGTCGCTTCGGCGTACGACAGAGCGTTGACGATCTCACCTTCCGTGCGGGCGAGCTCGGCAGCGCGCTCGAAGTACTTGAGAGCCTCGGTGACCTTGCCCTGCTGAAGGAGCAGCTGGGCCATGGTTGCAACCGCGATGTCGCACTCGGGGTCGACTGTATGTGATTAGTCTCGCGATTTGAGAATAAAGACGGGGTGTGCATACTGATGAGAGCCTTTTGGCAAAGCTTCTCGGCTTCGCCAAAGTCCTGCTTCCACTGGAAGAGGGTCAGGGCCTTGTTGATAAGGGGAAGAACGTTCATGGCCATCGGCTTCGTCTTCGACTCCATGTCAATCGCGGCGTCGAACTTCTCGATAGCCTCCTGGAAGTTGCCCTGGTCGAGGAGCAGCTCTCCGTAGTAGTTGTAGACGTCGGGGACGTCCTTGAAGTTCTTGATGCAGCGGCGGAAGGTCGACATGGACGAGGCGATGGAGCCCATCTTGTACTGAGTGACACCGAGCTGGATGTGAGAGAAGATGAAGTCACGGTCGAGGTCGATGGACTTCTGGTAGTCCTTGGCGGCGTCGGAGAACTCGCCCTTGATGAAGTGCAGCTGGGCACGGTGGTAGTAGATGTCGGGATCCTCGGCGTTCTGCTCCATGGCCTTGTCGAAGTCGTCGGCAGCCTTCTCGGGGGCACCAAGCTCCAGATTCATGCTAGCACGCTTGATGTAGCTCTGGGTCATGGAGGGGTCGAGCTCAATGCTCTTGGACAGGTCGCTCATGGCGTCGTCATGCTTTCCGAGCAAGCAGCTGAAAGTACCGCGGAGGTTGTATGCGAGAGCCTCGAACTCCTCGAGCTCACCCAGTTCCAGGGCCTTCTCGAAGGCCGCCCTCGCCTCCTCGTAGCCGTCACCAGTCTTCTTCTCCAAAGCCGCAAGGCCGAGCTGCAGCTGACCCTTGCCAGTCTCCTCGTCCAGCGCAATAGAGTCCTCGAGACCGGCCGGGCGGGGCTTGACGCGGAAGCTCTGCAGGTAGTTACCGACGAAAGTGTGGCTGGGCAGCTTGTTGGGGCGATTGGCCATCATCTCCTGGGCCTTCTGCTCGGCAAACTTCTTCAGCAGGCGCTCGACGGCCTGTGCGCTGTTCTCGTTCTTGAAGCTATCGATGATGCAGGAGGCGGTGAAATCGAGGAGAGCCTCGCCGTACATCTTGAGGTGCTCGTAGGCGTTGGCACGGCGGTTCAGGGCCTTCACGTATTCGGGATCGAGGTTGATGGCGGCGGTGGTGTCCTCGACAACCTTGTCCCAGTCGCCAAGGGCATTGTAGCAAGCGGCACGGTTCGAGTAGAAGATGGGGTTGGCCTTGCAGAGGATGGCCTTGGAGTAGAGCTCGATGGCTTGGTTGTAGTCCTTACCGCCATAGGATTTGTTACCGGCGTCCTTCAACTTGGCGGCGTACTTCTCTCGCTCTTCTTGGGTGAAGCTCTGGACGGACGTCTCGTCGATCTCGGGAAGCTCTTCGGGGTTCTCGGCGGCGGCCGTCGGTTGCGCAGCAGCCTCCTTCTGTGCGGGCGCGGCCTTCTCTGCCTCGGCGGCCTTGCGTTCGGCCTCCCTTCTTTTCCTCCGCTCCTTCTTGCTCAGCTTTGGTGTATCATCCTTCTTCTTGAATCGCACTAAGGTCAGCTTTTGATTCCGTGCAGTTGAACCTGGCAGGGCTGGCGGAGATGGCCAAGATCCCAGTCGTAGCGGCCGTGTGGAAAATCGGATCGCATGACGACAGCCAGGTGCCAGGAGCAGGCAAGACACAAGAGTAAAAACGTACGGAGTCGCTGTTGAGGAAGTAGATGACGCCAGCACCGGTAGCGACGACGGCAACACCTGCAGCGGTATAAACGACGGCCTTGTTTTCTGAAGCCCAAGAGGTGATGCGGTCCCAAAGTCCGGAGGAGGAATCAACCGGGATAACGGTCGGAGTCTTTGCCAGAGGAGGCACGGAGGGGAGGGGATTGGACATATTTGTGGTGGCTCGAGGCAATTGATAAAAAGAGGAGCAAAGGTATCAAGGGTGGTACAGGAAGAAAAGTCGTAAAGTCGACAAGGACTTGAAGTGTGTGAATGGACTGACCAGTGCGAGGGCGGTCTGGTTCGATGATGTAGGTAGGTTGCAGGTGCAGGTGCAATTGCAGGAGCTGGCTGCTGTGATGCTGATGCTGCTTGCTGGCCGTCTGGTGGTGGTGGTGGTGGTGGTGGTCTCTGTCTGGTCTGTTTGCTATGCGCTGGACTGGGGCCCAGGAGCTTCCGGCACAGCGCGCAAAAAATTGTTGCGCGACGGGGCAAGCTCGTGAGGAGTTTTTCCGGCCTAGCACCACAGTCTTCTGGGTCGAGCAACTGTCATTGACCAAATCAGCTTGGCCTCAGGCGATTTAAGAGTGGGGTTGGCAAGGGAGGGCCGCCTATGAGCCTGCAAACTACGTAACCAGTGAGGGCCCTGGCGCTCCAGGTCGCAAGGATATGTTGGTCAGCCAGCAGGGTGCCTTTCGCTTTCGTGGTCTGGGCTGACGATTTTTGTTGTTTACTGTCTTCATTAATAAGCTGCTGTTTTTTGCTGAAGCTTGCGAAATTTTGATGTGCACCCGTATTGCGCCCTCAAACCGAATCAATTGAAGACTTGTGGAATCGTTGGGCATTTACACAGTAGGAACGATCTCCCAGACAAATGCGAGAGCTTCAATCGCCAGGGATCTGGCTGGAATACCATGTCGTCATATTCTCCTGTATTCTCATTTTGGGTTTCACTCGCCTGGCGTCCTTCAGAAAAGCATTCGATGGAAGTCTTCATTGCTAGAAAAACTTTGTACACTGCTTCTGTGCTCCTTAAAAACTTATGGTATGTACAAATCTTCTGAAGATGGATTGGCTACGCATCGTGCAAATTACACGAGTAAGAGACTCGCAGCTACATACGGCTAGTTGGATATGACTTCTTTCCTCAGCGACAATCAGCCAGTTCGGCATGACCTATCGTCAAGAGACATGGAGGGGTCGTTTCCAGCTCGAGAGACTTTGAATTTGTCTTACTTGTACTGGCGCAGAATGGTCTTCGGAGTGTTTCATTGAGAAGATGTCTATAGACATTGGTTCTGAAGAGATGCTTGCTTCTTCTGGGTAATGTGTGGTTGTCCAGAATGAAAAAGGCTTGAAATAAGGTACTCATCATGTGGCAGAGCCGTGACATCCAGCGCGTATTCCTTGAAGAGCATCTCCAGAAATACCTCGGCGCGAGCCCTCGCTCCAGTCGTTTATCAGCGCCCTCCGAATTACTGTGCTAATCAAAGCGTTTTTTGAAAAAATTCATGTTGATCATCACATCAAACTAGGAGATTCTCCAGACCATTGGGTTCCGCACATTGTTCATATACAATTGGGACTACAGGCATTCAGTGATAAGGAGGTTAGTAGCTGGGCTGATGAAATTTGAAGTCTCGGGTGGCCAAGATAAGAGTTGACCTTAATAATCTATCTCAAGCTGCTAACGGGAAATATGCATTAAACATATGTCTTGAACGATGAAGTTGTGTTCATCCCCATGAGTATCAACAAATTGATTAGATGGGTAGTTGAAAGTGACCAGTGGAGACAGAAGGCAGTGAGAAAGTGTCGGGTGCTTATGTAACGCACACTGCAACTCACAAAATTGTTAGTGCCGTCTTATGAGCGACTTCCGTGCTGCAAGCGAGAAGACTCAGAGTGCTTCTGGCTGACCTTGACCACCGTCGCCGTCTAAAGTCAAAGCCCGGTCACAGCACTTGTTGCATCGGCAAACTTACCTGGATCAATAAGAGTGGCTCTTTTACTTCTGCGTCTCTCTTTCAAATCTGCCTTCTCGTCAAGATCGCAGATCTGACAATCATCGACCATCCTACATCGCACCGCACACCTTGAGTCAACAGTTTACAGACAGTCGCAAATATGGCCAATCAATTTGAGCTCTTCACGTCGCTCCGTTTCGACCCCGGATTGCTGGGCGTCCCAAAGAGGCGTTTGGCCAATGCGGGGTGGAACGCCAAGATGACCTCCCCGTACTACATGCTCGACCTCCACCGGGATCGGATGCTTAGAGCCGCAACACATTGGAACTGGACTCCTGCCGTTGAGGCTATCGCCGGCGAGACCGGTCTGCAGAATCTCGCAGACGCCGTCGAGACCTTCTTGGCTCAGCATGGCAAGGAAACCCCACTGAGAGTCAAGGTCCTGCTTACCTCGGACGGGAAGCTTAGCTGTGAAGCATCACCAGTGCCCCCGGTGCCGTTGCAAAACCTCTTTCCCGAGAGACTCCCACCACCTGGAAGCTCGAAGGAGACCAGCGATCCTTCTGAGGAACCTCTTATGGAGGTCGTAGTAGATGACACCGAGACATCTCAATCGGAGTACACCCACTTCAAGACTACCAAGAGGGCCATGTACGACACTGCTCGGGATCGTGCGAGCATTGCGCCGACGGACCGAAAGGAAGTCCTGCTGGTCAACTCCAGAGATGGCACGATCATGGAGGGCAGCTTGACTACTCCCTGGTTTTGGAGGAACGGTAGGTGGGTGACACCTCCGGTATCTGCCAAATTCAATCCCGATGGCGGGAGCGGTGGTCAAGATGGAACCACTCGCAGATGGGCTCTTGAAAGGTGAATATCCTGACATATCACGTCATTCGCGCCTGCCTGCTGACTACGTGCTCAGGAACCTGGGTGCTGAAGAAGAGGTCAAGGCCGACAGTCTTGTCCACGGTGAGTCTTGCTGGATCAGCAATGGTGTTCGCGGCTTCACTTTTGGCAAGGTACGGCTCAGTGCCGCATAACAAGCTTGCGTTCTAAGCTCTTGTCGATTTATGAGTCCAGGAGGCGCATGATATCATGATATGATCAGAGCAGCCTACTATGGGCGGTTCATCGAACCAATCATGCGAACTTCGGCCTTGATAGCAACCACTGCCATGTTGAATCGCCATCTTCTGATTCGAGATGAACGCCTATCTTTGGGGCATATGTGTATTGCCGAGATGTTATATCCGGATGGAACATCGAGCATGGATCCAGAAAAAGAACCCTGACGACATCACAATGCCAAGTTCAGGTCCAGCGATTGCAGAACAATCAGGAGGCCTCGTCTCCTTGCATCGTGCTTGGCAGGGTATCCAGGAATCTGGAGTCGATCGGCGCCAAGACGGGACATGGCCCGCTAAGCTAATCCCTGCCCCGGAACCACCGTGCGGCGTCCGTTACATCATTCTGTAGGCGGGGAAGACCTCATCTCCCGGCCGATTTGTTCATCAGACCAAGCTGGTCGTCAAGCAGTAACAGTTTTGGCTCACGAGCCGTCTCTGATTTGCATGTGCCAATCCCCTTCTGAATCACGGCAGCTGGTTTGACCGGCGCGTATTGAGGTAGGCTGCTTGAAAGTTCAGGTGGCCGAAGCTCCCGCGGGGCATCTCCAAAGTAGAGCGACTGTGACAAGTCCAAATCGCTCAGGTGTTTCCATAACGTTTCCCCCTCTTTCTCGTTCATTTTGAACCACTTGTTCATCGACGACTCAGTCCAGTCTCCACCGGGCCATTTTGTACCCTAACCAACTGCCTCATCGGGCTGGACCGAGGGCCAGACTTCTTCCCTTTCCCCCCTATCCCCATGAGAGCTCAGAGCACGAGCGAAAGGTCCGAATGCGCGTTGTCACGAAAGCTCCGTTTCAAGCCTGCGGTTGCACCGCCCCACCTCCCGTGCCTTGCTCTGAACTGTCACACTTCAATGCCGGCATGAGCTCTCTCTCTCATGACAGAATACACCCAACCCGTCACTTCAGCTGAGCAGTCGTCAGCGAAACGTCAGCCCTGCCGTTTTATAAGTCCCTGACAGGCCGCCGCATGATTGCTGCGCCAACACCCCTTGGTGATATTTATCTTCCTTAACTACCGACAGATCACATCTAGAGCAAAGCAGGTTTTCCACCTACGCGCCCGTAACCCCCTCTCACGACTCACTTCAGCCCGACCAGGTTCTGAAGGTGCCGACATTCCGATCAGTGATCGCGGTACTTGCTTCTTACCCAAACGGGCAGGTATTTAAACGCCAGCTCAACCCAAAGAGCGAGCTTGTTTCGCAAACAACCTTCAAACTCAACTCAATTCATCCTACTGTCCACCGATTCAACTAGTGCAACCAGCTCCTTCCTTGACCACAGCTCCATACATAACCACGATGGAGGCATTCCTGCAAACCCAGGCAAAGTTCAAGCTGGACAAGGGTCTCGCCAAGATCCCCGCCGCCTTGAACAAGAACTACCAGCGCCATGGCACAAAGTCGTACGTTCACTTGCTCAACAAATACAAGTTCGAGCCCACCAAAGCCGGCCCCTATGTCCAGACCAAGAGGATGGCGCAAAGGGGTCTTGCTGCCCCGGGCTTCAATGCCCCTCTCGGCGGTCGCGTCTCTATGAAGAACGTTTTGGTGAAGAAGACCGACTCTGGGGAACAGAGCGGAGAGGTCACGGCGGAGGACCAGCAGTACGACTCCATGTACCTCTGCGAGGTGTCCATCGGCACGCCGCCGCAGAAGTTCAAGCTGGACTTCGACACCGGCTCCTCTGACCTTTGGGTATCCTTCCCGAATACATACTGCCGCTGTAGCAATCACTAACACAGCCAATAGGTCTTCTCAACTGAGCTCAGCAGCTCCCTCCAATCCAACCACAACATCTTCGACGCCTCCAAGTCCTCCACGTTCAAGAAACTCGACGACCTCTCGTGGAAGATCTCGTACGGCGACGGCAGCTCCGCCTCGGGCGACTGCGGCACCGACAACCTCGTCCTCGGCGGGCTGACGGTCGAGAACCAGGTCGTCGAGCTCGCGCAGCAGCTCGCGCCGCAGTTCTCCCAGGGCACCGGCGACGGCCTGCTCGGGCTGGCCTTCAGCTCCATCAACACGGTGCAGCGCGACGGCAACATCCGCGACCCGCAGAAGACGCCCGTCGACAACATGATTGCGCAGAAGGATATCCCCTCGGGCGCGGAGCTCTTCACCTCAGCCTTCTACAGCGAGCGCGACGAGGGTAACCCGAAGTCGTTCTACACGTTCGGTTGGATTGATACGGACCTCGTCTCGGCGTCCGGGGAGGAGATCCACTGGACCGAGATTGACAGCTCACAGGGGTTCTGGATGTTCGAGTCCGGCAGCGCGAGCGTGAACGGGAAGGCCGTCGGCAAGAGCGGGAACAAGGCCATTGCTGACACCGGCACGACGCTCGCGCTGGTCGCGGACGACGTGTGCGAGGCGCTGTACGCCGCGATCCCCGGGTCCAAGTACGACGACCAGCAGCAGGGGTACGTCTTCCCGACGAGCACCAAGGCGGACGACCTGCCCGAGTTCAAGGTCGCCGTGGGGGACAAGGAGTTTGTGATTCAGAAGGAGGACTTGGCGTTTGCGCCTGCTGAGGACGGATGGTGGTATGGCGGTGTGCAGTCGAGAGGGTCAAACGATTTTGACATCCTTGGTGACGCATTCTTGAAGTCCATCTATGCTGTGAGTTGCTTCTGCTTACGAACCATGTGATGAGGTGGTGGTGCTGACTTTGCTGCAGATCTGGGACCAGGGAAACACTCGGTTTGGATGTGTTCCGAAGATTGAGAAGACGCAGAACCTGACTCCGCCATCGGGCTCGGCGACCGGGTCCAGCAAGATTGAGACGATCAACAGAAGATGGTAAACAAACACGGCGTTTACGTTGCGATGGATGAAACATATGGCGGAATATGACTTATGAATAAAGCAGCAATAAACGATCCAAATTAACACATCAGCTTTCGACACTATCTTGCTATGTCTTGTCCGTGATCTCTGTCTGCTTACTTACCTGTCAAAGTACACGACCACCCAACAGCTACATAATTGGCCAAGCCCATTCATCATCCACATACAAGAAACCAGGTACGAGGATGAAAGAAGACGATGTACATGAAAGGGGTAACTGACAAATGCCTGAAAGATGTTTCCTTGGGACATAGCTTTGCCCACAAGGTCCTCAAGGCATGAAATGCGAAAAAAAAGGGGGGGTTTGGTGATATTTTACCCTCTCACCGAGGCTCGAACGTATAGCATTTCGAGCTAGGGCTTTCTGGGATCACCAGGCGTAGACCACTCGACCTTAGAGTCTTCGCTATGACGAGTGGCTACGGAAAGAACAGAACTGTTTCTGCCTATAGACCTCGTACGCTTGGTCAGCGTGTGCCGCAGAGGTGGAAGGCTGCCGCTTGAAGCAGATTTGGTCCATCAGGGTTGCGTTGGATAGAGTTGAAGTTATTCAAGTCACGAACACAAGATTGACAGGCACTTTGGGACCGCAAGACGTGATAGGCTGTTTTCTTGTCCAGGAAAGGCACCGTCGACGAGGGAAGAGACGGTAAGTTTCGACAAAGACATGGCAGGAAACCAGAGCTTCCTGGGCGTCATGGGGCTTCGAATGCGTGACCGGTCGTTTCTTTCCACCTCTGGTCTTGGCCAAGTATCATCTGGTCTAACATCAGCCAACTGTGCTCCTTCATAGTACAAATTCGGAGTCTTCGGAGTTGAACATACTGAGAGTGAAATCCAAGTTTGAAGACTCTGAGACCAGGGTCGACCAACTATTGACAGTGGTACTTCAAGAGGGAGCGATCACTCGCCATCAAGATGACGGAGAGAATACGGAGCCGATATGTAAAGACCGGCTCGGACAGCAAGCTTGTCGTCCAACCGGCGTCCGTGGTTGGTTCCTGTATCGCATAGAGGCTGACCGTTCATGAAGATAAGCTGAACTGAACCACTCAGCCAGACTCCCTCGCTCTTGGCGGGGGTCTAAGTTTGCCCTGTTCCGGGCCACCAGTTGTCATCCCATCCTGGGTTTCGAGGGGGCACATGGTTGGCAGGGCCAGTAAGGTTCGATGCGAGCGCAGGCAGATCCGGGGCTGTCCCAGCGTCGAGGGACTTGAAACGGTGAGCCGGCACATCGCCCTGGGCGGGTGCGGAGTGTCAGACGAGTTGTGAAGCACAGTCTGGGTCTATGATTCCATTGACCCAGAGCACTGGGATTTCTGGGCTCTTGCGAAATTCCACCATGACCTTTTTTCACATGTTGCGTGTAGGCGCTGTACACATGTTAACGAAAATGGCCCACGGGTAACGTGATCAGGACGGTGCATGTAAGGATGGAAACATGCCAGTTGAAGAGGTTACGTCCGGACCGGAGACGAGACTCTGGACTCTTCGAAATAAAAAAGCAAAAGCGGGTCCTGTTCAGCTCCGTGACGGTCGTGGATTGGTGGAGAGGTTATTCTTGGAGACGAAGTGGCATGGCTGGTTTGACAAGGCCCCGAGCTTGGGTGATGAGGTGGGATTTCGGTGAGGTGGGCGAAGAAGCTCCAGAAAACCAGCAGCAAGAGAGGGACTCTGGGAGTCACAGCCCAGGCTGGGCCAGGCCCCAAGGTCGGGCCCAAAACAGCGTGGCACTTCCGGCACGCCGGTCCCAAGGGAAGCATCCTACTGGCTGAGGGGCATGACAGCGAATGGGGGTTTGGGGGAACACGAGTGACGAGTGTGCAGTTGCCGGCCAGCCAGCCAAACGGCCAGCCGGCTTACGGAAGCACAGCCAACGCAACATGAGCAGCTGCAGCAGCAGCGTGCCTCCCCTCAGTTCCATTGCTGCTGGTTGCTGAGGGACTGATACGCAAAGGTGTGTTCCAAGAACACCCGGACCAGACAGGCCAGCCGAGGATGGATGACAGCACCTAAATAAAAATAAAGACCAACGTTGAAGGTGCATGTTCCTGTTAGCTGTGTCCGTCCACCATCCACCGTCTAACATAGCGCACCGTTTAGCTGAAGTGAACTGGAGACTGGGGGACGGGAACCTGCCCGGACCACACCCGTACCCGTACCTTAGTCCGTCCACATTTTCCACGGGCACCCATCGCACCGATTCCCTCAGGTGGGTAGGCAGGCAGGTACCTCTGGGCCCCATTACCCTAGCAGAGGTCCAGCTACACTACCGCACCGTACCTTACCTGCCTAGCAGAGTACAGCACAGCCAGTTGAGGCCCCTCAAGTTTGCGTTGCTTTGGCCCTGCTGCTGGCCTCTGCCTGTCTGTCCAGCCCGTCTTGCCTGCTCTGCTTCTTGTCGTCGTCTCTGGCCGAATTTCCTCTCTCCCTTCTATCATCACCACCAACTACACCCCTGCGATTCCTCCTCGCACTCAAACCCTTCTCCTCCTCTCCTCCTTTTAGACTTCCACCCTTCGTCTGCTCTTTCATTAGAAGCAGAGAGGTTCGAGGAGACCATTCGGGTAGAGCTCCGCCCCTGCTGCACTGCATTGCGGTTTTTTTATACACTCTGCCGCAACCCTGCTCTGCTCTGCTTTGCTCTGCTCTTTGGTTGCAGAGAAATCTGTCCGACAAGAAGCTGTGTGTTGCTGTTGCTTCTGCTTCTCCCGAAGCCGACGCCGCCGCACTGCCCAACGCCCGCCCGCTGTTGTATTTTATTTTTAATACGCCCTCTTGGCCGTCTGTTTGCCCATCGCCCGAATTCTTCGCCAACCGCAGGGCGGTACTTGCTTTTCCCCCGTCTTCCATTCATCAACCGTTATCTGGCAAGCATCGCATGATTCCCTCGACATCTTTCCGCCGCTTCCTCCGCTCCTCGAGCCTGTCCTGCTCGTCAACCTGAGCATCAACCTACCGCCGAGTCAACATCCGAAAGGTCCAGATAGCTCTACGAGAGCTACCGAAAACATGGCGGCCCCCCGACGCAGAAAGATTGGTCATCGACGACGCATCGAGGATGAGGAAGATGGAGAAGGTGGTCCTGATCAGCTCGACCTCGATGACGACTCCATGACCGAGGGTTCCATCATTAGTGACGACCACGATCACGGCAACGATAGCGATACTAGCAACATCGACGAGGCCTCCCCCATCACCCCGAACGCAAGGAAGTCTGCTGGAAATGGAGCCGCGAAGCATGCTGCCCGGGACCCCTCGGCGCCCGCCAACAACAAATCTGTATCCGATGCCGATGCCATGCTTCAGGGCCTTTCCGTCAGCGACCGTCCCGAGCCTGTGCAAGAGCTCCAGCTCGACGACCCCGCTGTATCGCCGCCCAAGTCTTCCGCTCCTCTTGTCGTGAGCTCCAACTCGTCCCGCCCCGCGGAGCCCGTCGGCGAGCGTCGTCGTCGGGAGCACGAGGAATACAAGAAGAAAAGGGACGAAGACCCCGCCTTCGTTCCCAACAGGGGGGCCTTCTTCATGCACGATCATCGCCATGCCGGTCCTTCTGCTAATGGCTTCCGGCCTTTTGGCAGAGGTCGTGGACGTGGCCGTGGTGGAGGCATCGGAGGCCCCTACGCTCCCATGAAGTATGCTTCCCAGAAAGAGTCATCTCGTCATCTCTCGGCTAACCCGCTCAGTCAATTGCACAGTCCGACCGATCCTCTGACCAGTGGTCAATGGGCACATGATATGCATGAGACCGTCGCCGACCCGCTGCCCTCGAGACAACCAAGGCATCTGCCCGAGGAAGAGGGACCGGCCAACGGCAACGGCTTCATCCCGACATGCCCGTCCAACCCGACCCCCATCAACAGGACTCTGTCCACCGAGCGACACATCGGCAACGTGCAGGTGAGGGTGTCCCTTCCCGTCACCGGGAAAGGTCCTGCTGCGTTTAGCATGCCAGTCAAACAATACACCAAACTTCCAGACCACCGCCCGCCCCTGCGTCGCGACAAGCCAGTCCGCATCTCCCTGCCAGACAACCCGCCCAAGTACATCTTCCCCGCCGTCGACCGATCCTTCATCTTCATTCCCCGTGCCATGCGGCCGAACCAGCAGCGGACCCGGGGCAAGCCTCGCTCCGGCCTTGGTTCGATGGGAGGGTTTTCTAGACGGACCAGCGTTTTTGGCGGAAGCTACTACGGCAGCGCCTATTCTCCGAGCATTGCTCTCAGCCGTCGCTCCTCGTTGGCACCTGATGGTCGTGAATACCTCTTCTCGCCCACAGGCTCTGTCATGTCGAGAGCTCCTGTGCCAGTCGAAAATTCCAGACCTGTTGTCAGGCTGCCGCCCGCGAGCCACCCTCATCAACCCTTCGTTCCTAATCAGCCGTTTGTTGGGCAGGATGGCATGCCCATGCAGCCAATGCACGCTATGCACCCGAATGAGACGTCCATCAACGATTTGCCGCAGCCACAAACCCACCCGTTGCCTCAGAAGCCTGCATTCCAGGAGAACCGGCCAAGCCAGATTCCTATGCATCAGCCTCGCCCGCAAAAGGCAGTATCGGTCACAAACATTGAATCGCCGACCCTCAACCAAGGCCCGCAAGCTTTCCAGCAGGCTTTCCACCAGCAGGTTCCTGTACAGGTGTCTAACGGCCTACCTCAGGAAGCTCACTCACGACAACCGTCGTACCCCACGCAGCACTCAACTGGCACGCCTTTGTCTCAGATCCCCGAGAGGGCGATCCACGCTGCTCCTTTCCAGCCCAACTACCCGCCTCCGCAACAGAACTTCTACAACCAGCCTTACCCCATGATGCAGCATCAACAACCGTACTTTTATCCCGGACAGTACAATGGTAACAGCATGGGACCGGCAGCTGCGGCGCCGTCTTTTGCACCCCCCGGACAGCCGCCCCAGGGCCCTGGCTTCCCTCAACAAGGCCAGGTCGATCCCGCGGGCGCTCAAGCAAACGGACAGGCCCCGGGAGGACCCAACTTGGTCGCCCAGGAGGTCAACGGTATGGTTTACTATTACGATGCGGCTCAGCTTCCGCCCATGAACACCTATCAGGGCTACCAGCAGCCTCCCCCGCAATTCGGACCCGGTGTTGGTGGCATGGGCGGAATCACGCCAAGCCCGGACGGTTTCTACTACCAGCAACCCGCACCCGGAATGGTGTACTACTCGCAATAGGATTATGGGCAACTATCTACCACTTTGGTTCCTTCGTTCCCCGTAACGCCTTCTCCATAATCCTTGTAATTCTCAATGTCGGCTTTTCTGGTCGCGCTATACCCTCTTCTCGTCGGACGGCTGGACGGGGGCACAGGGGCTGGAGGAATTTCAAAAAGCGATGAGCGCTAATGAACTCGATATGCTTATGGTATTGCTAGGACTCGGGCGCTATTGATCCGCGTTGAGGTGCACTTTGTTTGGGAGGGACTCTGTTACCGAGGTTTTCGCCACAACCCCCCTTTTTCTTGTTCCAACACGCTCGCAAGCATCTGATAGCAGGAGAGGAAAGGACGGTCTGGCGGATCATGAGTTAGGAGGGGGAGACAGCGCAAGGTTCCTTGGTTCTACAACCTCTACACCTTTTTCTCGAATTCAAGAAGTTCCTCCCATTGCCCACGTCGAAGCCCCTGCCACTTCCCCCTCTCTTGGGTTTCCTATCAGCTACCATTACTTCTCCAAGCGTCTGGCGTTTTCACGGGTAATTTCAGTTGTTTCCTTCGTGCTTAACCCCGACAGATGGGGCGTTGGTGAATCGGAGGTCCAATCTCGCACAGTTTTTTTAGGTTCTCTTTCGGTTTTGGTTTTGGATTTTCGGTTGGAGCGTCTATACATTTCATGGGTACTAGTTTTTTCCTTCCAGCTTATGACCCCATTACGTTGATTTCTGGTCCAAGTTTACCTAGACATTCCTTCAGAGGGAAAGGGCGATTGACCCTTCCCCCGATTTTCTGTTTCTTTTTCCTTTCTACCTCATCATGACCACACGATATGCCTAGACTAGTTCTCGCCGTTTGACTTTTCCTTTGCTTTGCTTCTTCTTCAGTATCTCGTGAGAGGGCTTTTCCGGTCTAGGTATGCATGTTTAGGGGGATATTCTTCTGACGACCAAAAAAAAGTTTCTTTGTTTAAGTGGAAGGGGGGGGAGCGGGGGCTTGAAAACTCTTTTCCTGCTTGCTCATGATGATTTCGCGTATTTATTTACCACGCGAGAGGGAAGAGAATGGTGTTGGCAGAAGAGTTGACGGATAGGAGGGCGGAGATGGGGAGAGGTAGATGTATGTGATGCTTAGTGTGTGTACATGGTAGTTCTGAGGTGTTGGAGGCCTTTAGGGTGTTGCGCTGTCGATGTATACAATGGTTGGCTGGATTCTCGTGGACCTCTTTGCTCGGGTGCCTGATGTTGTGATTGCAAGGTACAATCACTTGACAACAAGGTCTGGAACGAAACTACGGCCTGAGACTCTCCTCGGTTTTGACTTCATGTTGCCGTTGTCACTTCTGCTGTCCTTGTTGTCGTCCTTTGGTCGTCCTTCGTCGTCCTCGTCGTATGAGGATCTCGTTTGGTATGTATTAGACTTCGCTTAACCTGAAGCACCGGAGATAATTCGAGCATTCAAATGTGGCAACATCACTGGGGATATTTCCAGGTCTTCATTCTGCTACAATTTGACGGTATCAAAATACGAAGTCGTACGAGTACAGCTGCTTACAGAGGCACCAACCCTCCTCTCTGCTCGTATTCCTCTACTGTGCTCACGAATACTCTCCGGACGACAACGACATGGACTGGCCATCGACGCACCCGTTGCGGGCTTACCGACCCGAAGAGATCACCGCCCAAGAGTTCAAATCTGCCTTGGAGATCAGTCTTCGTAACTATTACGATGCTGAACACACACAGCACTATAATAGAGTGATTGTGCTCACATTCTGCTGGGATATCGACTATATCCGCCGCGCGAGAGTTGGACACTGGACCAGCCAACTTGGCGATACTTTCCAGCACTTATACGGTTACGAAGTCTTGCATACTTCAGTACCGGCGTTCGCGCCCAACCCGCACGGCATCGTCTCGCAAGTCGTGAGGGATACACTATACGGAACGTCAAACCTGGCCCGGCTCGGGAGAGAAACCCTCGTGATCATCTACTACGTTGGGCATGGCAGTGTGATGCAAGCAGCACCCAACGATGAACCGAGCCTCCTTCTACACCCAAGTTGGCCACCCACAGTCTTCGACCAACCACCTCAACCTATCGGTTCCTACCATTCCCAAGATGTCCCTCGAGTATACTTCACGAATATCCGCAGAGAGTTGATCGATAGCGCCGAGCCAGATGTGCTAATGCTCCTTGACTGCCCTTATGCTGACCACGCGGGCGCGATCGGGCCCGGCAAAGAGATCATCGCAGCTTCAGTCCCCGATCACCTCGCCTGCGCCGACGGCTGGCGATCGTTCTCTGCTTGTCTCGTCTACCACCTCAGGCTCGCAGCGACTAACAAGCATATCCTGACGGTGCCGCAGCTCTACTCGAGACTGGCCACCAAATGCTTCACATTCGATGTGCACGGCGAGGCCGAGTTGGCTTCCATGCCCGTCCATATCCAACAACACTGCAACACACCCCGCGTCCCCATCTACCTAGGACCGATCTTGCCGGCATTCTGTTGGTATTCTGGACGAGTCGGCCTGTATATGTCCCAGCCAGCTATAGTCGTGCTAAGCGTGCGCCTGCGAGACGCAGAAAGCATCATCCTATCTGACTTGACGTCGTGGTCGGCACTATCGGGCGTTGACTTTGGTGATAGAGTGCATTTCGAGCGCGCGTACCCCACCGTCTCAGGGACGGAAATCCTCTTCAAGGCTACACTTGATGTTTGGTGCGGATTGAGAGGCTGTCCAGCAGTGAATTTCATCACTATCATGGTTAACGACGAGTTTGCGCGTAATATTGGGCCTAATCCTGTCTCTCATATGTAACGTAGACGACGACAGCGACGACGACGACGGCGACGAAGGGAAACGACGAAGGATAATGACGACAGAGTTGACGAAAGAGGCGACAACAAGGAACGGTAGTATACCGCCTGAACGGAGGAGAGCCACCTCGGACTTTCAATCTCATCCCAGACGCACCAACTCACTCGGCGATCTTGTCCTCCTCGGGATCACCAGAAGCAAGCCTGCGCGAACTGTCGATGCTGGCGTCGCTGCGGCGCTGGCCCCGCAAGACTTGGGGGAGTAGACTGGGGGCAGCGCGGGCTTTCCGGACAGAATCTGGATTCTTCTGTGATAGGCAACAAGGACGACGACAGCAAGGACGACGACAGCAAGGATGACGTCAAGGAGCCGCCCCAAGAGTTTGGTTTGGTCCCAGGCCTGTTTTCGAGTACCTGCCTTAATCACGTCGCCAGGCGGTCAGGTTCATCGTAATGCCCTGGTTGTCTGGTGCGTGTCTGCACCATGTTGTGCTCGCCACCACGACAGTAACTCCTCGTGCGAGTCGCAAACAGATAAGTATCTCGAACAGGCCAAGAAAGAACTATAGGCCCGAGATTTCCCCGGATGCTCGACACCTATCGTAAGATAAGATGGTTGCGATAGGCTCAAGTGTTTGGGCTGTCCCAAGGGCAACGATGAAGGTGCTTCATCACACTTTGGAACTAGTTTCAGCTCATTTCTTCCATTTCATACCTTTCTTGCCTTTTATACGTAGCCAAAAACAAATTACCTGAAACAAAGAGATCTGTCTGCACAGGGATATATACAATCGTCAATTTTTGTCTTCACTTTTCGCCATTGTATCAACATGATGGAAAACCAATAACCCAATAAAACAAGAACAACCGACCCCGTTTTCCCCTGATGAAACACACCGTTCGTCTAAGCCTGGTTGCGCTTAGCGAGCATGCTCAACGCGCTGCCCGCGAGGATGAAGCCGGCCTGGTCCTTGGTGACGGCGTGCAGCGTGGGGACGAGCACCTCGGAGCCGTCCTTCTTCTTGATGAGCAGCTGGACCTTGCCCTTGCCGCCGTTCTGGAGCATCTCGTAGAGGCCGACGGTGCTGACCTCGTCGCAGGCGGCGATCTTGTCGTAGTCGGCCTCGTTCTCAAACGTCAGGGGCACGACGCCCTGCTTCTTGAGGTTGGTCTCGTGGATGCGGGCGAACGACTTGGTGAGGACGACGCGGGCGCCGAGGTAGCGGGGCTGCAGAGCGGCGTGCTCGCGCGCGCTGCCCTCGCCGTAGTTGTGCTCGGCGACGACGAGCCACTCCTGGCCGCGCTCCTTCCAGCGCTGGGCGAGCTCGGGAATGGTGTGCTTGGAGCCGTCGACGTCGTAGGCGGCGTTGACCTCGCCCGTTTCCTTGTTGACGGCGGTGTTGAGGGTGTTTGTGCTGATGTTGGGCAGGTGGCCCTTGTACTTGAGCCAGGGGCCAGCGGCGGAGATCGTGTCCGTGGTGCACTTTCCGGTGACCTTGACGAGGACCTTGAGGCCGGTGATGTCGCCCTCGGGGAAGGGGGGGAAGGGCTCGAGGAAGGCGAGACGCTCAGAGGTCGGGGAGATGGCGACCTTAATCTCTGGGTTGGGCTTCTCGGGTGAGATGGCCTGGAGGGAGGCGACGCCGGACTCGAAGGGGGACTTGGGGTTCTCGAGACCGCGGGGAGGGTTGAATTGGAACTCCTTGCCGTCGGTCGTCTGGAGCTTGTCGGTCATGGGGTTGAAGGTGGTTGATCCGGCGTAGGCCATGGCGGTGACGATCTCAGGGGAGGCGAGGAAGTTCATGGTGCCAGGGTTGCCGTCGTTACGGCCGCGGAAGTTGCGGTTGTAGGACGTCAGGATGGCGTTGAGCTCGCCCTTGGGGATGTCGTCTTGACGCTTCCACTGGCCGATGCAGGGGCCGCAGGCGTTGGAAAGAACGATACCACCAGCGCCCTCCAGAGTCTGGAGGGTGCCGTCACGCTCGAGGGTGGCGCGGATCTGCTCGCTGCCAGGCGTGATGTAGAAAGGGGCCTTGGGCTTCAAGCCGGCGGCTTCGGCCTGCTTGACCATGCTCTCGACCTTGGTCATGTCCTCGTAGGAGCTGTTGGTGCAGCTGCCAATGAGACCGGCAGACAGGACCTCGGGCCATTGCTCTTGCTGAATGGTGCTCTTGAACTGGGACAGGGGGGTGGCCAAATCGGGGGTGAAGGGACCGTTAATGTGGGGCTCCAGCTCCGACAGGTTGATCTCGATGACTTGGTCGTACTCGGCGCCCTCGTCGGCTCTGAAGTTGAAGCTTCCCCAGTTCTTGTAGCCCTCAAGAGCGCGGTGCTGGGCTTCTCTGCGGGTTTGGAGCAGGTAGCGTTCCGAGGCCTTGGTGTAGGGGAAGATGGACGTCGTAGCGCCGACTTCGGCGCCCATGTTGCAAATAGTCGCCATGCCGGTAGCGCTGAGAGTCTCGACACCCTCGCCGAAGTACTCAACAATGAAACCAGTTCCACCACGTACGGTAAGCTTGCCGGCGAGGTTGAGAATGACGTCCTTGGGAGAGACCCAGTCGTTAAGCTTGCCAGTCAGCTTAACACCCAGCACGCGGGGGGCCTTCAGTTCCCAAGGAGCGCCGACCAAAGCCTCAACAGCATCAGCACCGCCGACACCAATGGTGATGGTAGACAGACCGCCAGCGTTAGGGCTGTGAGAGTCCGTACCCAGCATCATGATGCCCGGCAGAGCGTAGACCTCAAGCACCGTCTGGTGGATAATACCCGCACCAGGAGGCCAGAAGTCCATGCCATACTTGCGTCCGGCCGACTCGAGAAAGTCGAAAACCTCCTTGTTTACTTGGATACCGTCGACAAGATCGCTGTCAGCGCCCTTGGAGCCCACAATCAAGTGGTCGCAGTGGATACTGGCAGGAATGGCGGGCTGGGCAAGGTTGCAGGACATGAATTGCAGCAGGGCCATCTGCGCAGAGGCGTCCTGCATGTTGACTCGGTCCGGGTTGAGCTTCAGGTTGGCGCTACCGCGGATGTTGCGTCCATTTTCGGTGTTGGTGAGGAGCGACTCCTCGGCGTTGTCGAGATGGCTGTAGAGGATCTTCTCGGCGAGGGTAAGGCGCTGCTGTCCTCCGAGGACGTGGCGGACCTTGAGGAGGTTGTCGTGGAGCCTTCGGTAGGTGTCGGGCTTGATCGACTTGGGCAGGAGCTTGCGCATCTCGGCGTCAAGCTGGTCAACGTCTTGTGCCGTCGCAAAGGTCCTCCGGACTGGCAGACATGAGGACGCGGAGAGGCATGGTCGCGTGCGCGCCAGGAGCCGCTGTTGCGGTGTTAGTAACCTCATTGTAGGCTGGAAAAAAGTTTTGAGTATGGCTATACCCTCGCGGCGCCTCCAGTTCGACTGGCAAGCTGGATTGGTGCCATTGTCGCTGCGCACCTCGCTCCCAAGACTATGTGTGAGTCGTAATGGCGGGGTGTGGAATTTTTTGGATTGCAAATTGGCGATGTCGGATTGGAAAGTCTGGGGGAGTTTTACACCATTTGTGGGGCAACCCCAAAGAAACCTTGCACTGCCGGCACCGGCGACGACCCTACGCCGAGGCAAATCCCTGCACTGAGTTGGTATCGTTAAGAACTGATCACTTACACCAGAGACAGTGAGACGAGGCAGCTTGTCGATTCTCCTATTGAGTTTCTTTGATATCGCTTACATCATCTTTCCTGCGTATACACCATAATAATCAAGGAAGGCTACAGAGACAAAAAGAGCAGAACCGGACGAAGACGACGACGGACGACGACAACGGCAATAGAGAGGACAACAACGGCAGAGATAACAAAAACCTACATAAAATTGAGTCGCCAAGGCACTGTAAAAAAGTGATCTCTTTTCTTTTTGTCAACTTATCCGACAGTATGCTTGATGCCAAGAAACAGTCTCCCCTGTCCCAATTGCACCAACATCTTCTCAGCTAGCCTTGAGTTGAAGCATGGCTCAGAAGATGGGACTTCTTGTGCACTCTATATACAACCCGTAAACTCCGAAATCCCACAGTAGTCCCCCTTGCGCTATCAAATGCTCCTCTACTAATCGTCTACTGGTCATACTGATTCTTCGTGCCAATAAAACCCTCGTTCCTCTCTCTTCTCTTGCCCCTCACCTCCTTGAACCACTCAGTGAGGGTGTAGCCCCAGTGGCCGGCGACGAGCACGCCACTAACAACGTTGACAATTTTCATCAGGAACTGCAAGAAGCCGTCCCTAGACTCCTCCACGGACAGCAGAATCGGCTCGATGTCGTACTTGAAGAAGATGCCGGGCACGTTGTGGTCGTCGACCTCCTTGCTCTGCTCGGTAACGGCGTACTGGTTCGTGAAGATGGTGTTAGAGGTGGACGCCGACTTGCCGACGGTGTAGACGGTGGGCACAACAGAGAGGTAGTACTGGAACTTGTGGAAGTTGATCCTGGCGGCGTTGACGGTTCGGTCCAGAGGGTTGACAAGCGAGGGGTAGAAGGGGCCGAACGACATCTCGGAGATGATGTGCGAGAAGTTGAAAGCTGCAAGATGATTAGTACGACTCGACCCACGGCGCATGAGTTACAGCCAACTTACCAGCATGGTCAAGGTGCTCCCCAAACTCCATGTATCCGTGACCTCTCGCGGTGATGTGGAAATCGCCCTGCACCCTGTTCACGTCCAAGTTGCCGTAGATGCGGCAGCTGTCGCCCTCGCCCCAAAGCTTCGGTGTCTTGGCCCACTTGGCCCTCTTCTTTCCAATGGCAACAATGTCGTGGACGTGCTCCTCGCCGAAGCCCTCCTCCTCCTGCCACCCCTCGCCCGTCACGATCCTGCCCTTGGTGTCTCTGCCCAGGCGGTGGATACCTTTGTTGTCGACCCACTGCGACCAGTTCGTCTTGTCGCGCTTGAGCTTGCTGGCCGCAAGGATGCGGTCGCCGGCGGCGTCCTGCACGTTGATGTGGAGGTCGTCGCAGTGCATGCGCACCACGATGTCCAAGTTGATCTGCATCTCGTGTCCAACTCCCTTCTCAACGGCGAAGGTGTGCGTTTCAGAACCGCGCCACCAGCGACCGACCTCGGTCCAGAAGAGGAAGAGTGATATCACTGCCATGGTGACAGTCCACTTGCCGCCGCCCGACGTCCGCGTTACATATTGGGGTTTCGCCTTGGCTGCGAGAACCGTGTCAGCTCATTGCTTCACGCCGGTTTGTTGAAGAGCGTTGCGCGAAGGTGCGCGACAGTCTGTCGTGTGACTTACGGAAAGCATCGAAAGCGCTGACAATATTCCCCTTCGCCCCGAAGGCGTCGTCATCCATGCCGTGCTTCTCGTCCCAGCCGTTCATCATGGCTGTCTGAAGTCAATTCGATAACCTCGTTTACCAATGCCGCCAGTGATCAGCGCAATTGAGATGTGGTCGCAAGTCGCTTCGCTGTGTGTGTGTTGATCACTAGGCTGTCGCAATTCGTCGATGTGTCCCTTTTCGGCTTGTTGCAAATGCCTGCCGTCAAAACCTTGTCTCGTTACCGCATGCCTCGTTTTCGGTGCCTGTTCGCAAAAATGAAAGACTTTTGAAGCTGCCAGGGATTGTGTCGTCGAAATTCGCCTCCTGGAAAGCTGGTCAGACTACTCGGCGCAACTCTCGTGAAGTGGGAGGTGTCGTAGAAGACTGTCTTAAGGACACTTTATCCAAAAGTTATCTGCAGTTCGGGCCCCCTGTCCAGGGGTCCAGAAATGGTTGGTGCCGCATGTTAGTGCAGATGTACTAAGTGGGGCATGCGCATTGGAGCTTCCAACAGGGGTGTGTGCGGGAACGTCTCCATCCCACATGCATCGTCGCCACTATACACTTGTTCACAGCTCGACACCTTGATTGTCGCCAAAACAATTCACTTTCACATTTAACTGCATGTGTTTTTCCGAACAGTTTGGATAGCCACGTTTCATTGCTGCCTAAACCTACAAGTACCAATCTGTAATCTGTCATGAGAGCGTCATGAAACGAGCGTCACCTCGGACAACCTGAGAGACGAGTGATCGGTCCTACACTAACATGTGCGCTGAGTGGCCACCGTCGCGTGCCACTACCAACTACCGCTTCACTACTGTCGAGACAGGTCTCAAACGAAAAACAAATACCCTGATAACCCTATGAAATGAGACATGTGAGGAGAGCCAGACACCCTGAACAGACCACCGGTCACTCCGTATCCAGTGGGAAAGAAAATCACGAGAACGGCCTGAGGATGGTCTACTTCCTCAGCCGCCTCTGCTGCTCCTCAAGGAACTCTTCGTCGGAAGCGTCCAGAATGTCGTACTCCTCATCGGTCATGAAGCCGTCATCGGAAGCGTCCCACTCCTCATCCTCACCGCAGTCCTCAAACTCCTCTGCCTCAGAGCTAGTGGCAGGGGCAGCCTCAGACTTGATCTCCTCGTGGATGCTAGAAATCGGTGATTCCTTCTCCAACTTGGGGAAAATCATGTTGCTGCTCTGCATCTCGACAGGGACGCCCTTGGGCTCTTCAACGACGGGCTTGGGAGCCTGAACGCTAACATCGCACCAAAGTCTGTGGCCAAACTTGAGACCGTCCTTGGTGGTCAGACGCCAGTAAGAGATGATCTTACCCTCGCGCGCAGGAGTGCGGAGGAGAACGTTGAAAGCAAATTCCTGACCCGGTGCAAGAGGTGCGTAGCAGACAGTAGACTCAGAGGCAGAAACGAGCTCGGAGATACCGGCAGGGTGGTTAGAGTCGACGTGGCCCATGTAGTCTCCGCCAACAAACTTGACAGAGCATCCGGCAGGCCAGGCAACCTCGCCGTCGTTGCGAAGGACCCAAGTCTGCTCGAAAACATGATTAGGCGGCAGGATGGTGCCATCAGCGACGGTGTCGCGAACGAAGACAGCCGCGAGATCTTGCTCGGTGATAGGCTTCTCAGCAACGGCGGCCACCGGCTTCTCCTCGATGACTTCCTTCTTGACCTCAGGCTCCTTCTTTACTTCTACCACGGGCTCGGGCGTCTTCTCGACGACCTCCTCCTTGACGGTAGGCTCCGTAGGCTTCACATCAACAACAGTCTGGACAGTGTTAATGGATGCGTTGGCAGTAGTCTCGGTGGAGCGGGAGCTGGTGCGGCGGATGTTACGGTCGCCCATCTGATGCATACGCTGACCATCTCCGCGCTCGCCAGTGGTAGTAACAGTGACATGGCGGACAGGCGTCTTAAACTTGACCAGAGGGTGAGTCTTGTTGTGGGTGTTAGCCGGGCTAGCCTCGCAGTTAGCACAGAAGTCGGTGTCGTGGCACACGGTGCACTTGTAGCGAACACCGGTGATATAGGTGGGCGCGTTGTGAGCGCGAGCGCACAGGGGACCGTCACAGCAGATGCCGAAGTGGACAGAGCGGCTGACAGCGCGGCTACGAACCTCCTCAAGAGGCTCGTAGATGGGAACGAAGCGGTGGTTGGGGTGAACGAATTTGGAGTTCACGATGCAGTCAGCGCAATAGTCCCAATCAGGGCAGTCGAGGCACTTGTGACGGACACCAGCAATGTACTTGTCGCAGCCGTCGCAAATAGCGTTGTGGCTCTGGTTGCGGCCAGGAGACAACTTGATCTGGATGTGGCTGGGGACGTGGGCGCCCTCGACAGCAGGCACGAAGGGGTGCTTCGGGTTGTGGCCGTGAGAATCCTTCTCGAAGCAAGCGTGGCACAGGTCGAAGTCCTCGCAAGAGGTGCAGTGGAGGAAGCTGGCCTCAGGAAGCTCGGTCACGCAGCAGTTGCAAGTGCGCATGTTATACATGGCGTTGCTGAAGACGGGGAGAATTCTCTCGGGCAGCAGCTGCTGGACTGAAACCTTGATGGGTTCCTTGACTTCCTTGGTAGCATCCTTGGCCTTGCTCTTTATCTTGGGAGCGATGGTCTCCGTTGTGCTGTTGATAATCTGGCCGTTCTTCACGATACGCTTGATGAGCCAGTGGTCGGCACCGTAGCAGGTGATGCCCTGGTCAACGCAGTCTTGGCAAAGGTCAAAGTCGCCGTCGTCGCATGTTGAGCAGTGGTAGTGAGCATCAGGAACTGTCTGGTCGCAGCTGTTGCAGCAGACTGCGAAGTTGGTGTTGGGGTGCGTGAGAGCAGGGCAGCGTCCCCACGATGATCTAGCGGGCGTGGTCTCGGCGCCAGAAGCGTTTGCAAACCACTGATCGCGGGCGGTGATGCCCTCAGAAACGGGGATATCCGGGGTTGCTGGTGCCTCCTCGTCGTTGATCTTGGCGTGTCTCCTCAACAATGAGGCGAGAATAGAGGCCTCAAAGTCAAGGCCGGTATCGCTAGTGGGCAGCTCCTTCTTGGGCTCAACATCAGACTGCTGCAAGTCGACGAGTGACTGAACTGGGGGCTGCTCCTCAACC